ATAATAAGTATCCATTAATTTTCATGCCTCTTTCATTTTTCTTAAAAGCTTAATCACAATTTCTGCAGGAATACAATCACCTACGAGATCAGTAACCGGATCAGAATTACCATTTTCTCGAATGATCAGCTACACGTTATTTCCAAACGTGGACATAGATGATCCTGTATGGACGCTGGTAGCAATGCAATGGGGACAAATCATTACCCATGATATGGGTATGATCGATGGCACCACTCAATCAAGTAAATTTTTATCACTCTAAGATTATTTAATAACTTAATAACTTAATAATTTATCTATTTTTCTTCACTCTTCACTCTTCTAAAAATTCTCGATAATTTATATCAAATTTTGAAACTGGTCGACTGATACCTTTTTAATATTTTCAACTTTTCAAATGTTACGTCGAAGTTGATCAAGTTGATTTGTGCAATATTATACAACAAATTACTATTAAATGTTAAATGTTACATTTCAATATATTACTCACTGTCGCTGGCATTCCAATCGTAAAACGAGTTTATAGTCCATTTTTCTACTTTTTACTATACCACCATTTTCCGGTTTTACCAGCCTTTTCCTTCAAAGTGCACATTGAACTACGTTCAAATATTTTTACCTAATTCGTTTTATTTTTTTTTTCCAAGTTAAAGTTTAAAAAGAGACAACAAAATTTATATATTTTTCCAGTCGATTGATCAGAGATTACTATTTTAAAAATCATCCTAATTAGAATTGAAAATCTTCAACTCATAAGCATCGTAACAATATAATAGGATAACTCGTAAATTATAGCAAACAATATTTTCAAAAATAATAAACGATAAATTAAACGTCCACGTCACTCTACACGAAGAGAGAGCGAATATTTCATTAAAAATTAAAAAAATAGAAAAAAAAAAAAGAAAGAATGAAAAAAATTCTGAAAATATTTCCAATTTTCATTATTGGAACTATCGCTAAAAACAATTCGTTTCTAAATTACTTTTTGTACAGAGCCGCACAGTACAAAATGTTGCACCGACGAGGGCCAACTGTTCAGAGATCCATCGTTCCTTCATAGAACGTGTTATCCCATACTAATACCTTTCAACGATCCTGTCTACGGCAAGACTAACATAAGATGTCTCAACTTCGTTCGTAGTACAACTGACCTTGACTACGGTTGCTTAGACCGATTGAAACCAGCAGAACAGGTTTGCTATTATTACGTTTAATGGATTTACTCGATCGTTCGTCATTTCCACATGATGTACAATTTCAAACTCTACGATTTAAAAATAACTTCTTTTCGCATCGATCTTTTTTCAGATGAACGTGGTAACGCATTTCTTGGATCTTTCCCTGGTTTATGGATCCAGCGATCAAGTAGCCGCTAATTTGCGAGCCGGCGTCAATGGACGTTTGAGGGTGGATGTTCGAACGAATAGAGAGTGGCTACCCTCGGCACCGAACGCGTCCGAATCGTGCGACATCGTGAAACCTGTCGAAGTTTGCTATCTAGCAGGTAAGATGCAATGAAATCACGTTGGAATAACGTTGATTGCAGAAGAGTTTCTATATATAGATTTCAATTCTGTTCCAGCAAAGTTTTTATAGATTCGAATCCGAACGATTGTTTGAATTTCGAAAAGAATTAAATAACATTCAATTGTGAAAAGTAAGAATGTTATATGAACGGATAATTAAATCATTCTCTTGCAATTTAATTTAATGTAAGATAAAGTAATAATTAACCACCTATGTAATGTATGTTCTGTATTCTATACGACGATATAGAATTATAGATAAAAAGATAAAGAAACTTTTAATTGCTAATTGAGGGGAAATGAAACGCATAGCGTGACGTTAAAACACGTAATCTTTCATCTTTAATTAAAATTTAATTAATTATCTTTTTTGTTTTCACGATATTCGTAACTATCAATAATAGAATTAAAATATATCCTTTCCCCTCCTGAATAGCTTTAAAATGATCGATTTTGATTTAATATTACCAATTGAATCTTTCTCGGTAAAATAATTTTTTTTTTCAATCAAGTTACAAAATTTCACTAGATAAATAAAACAAGATACACTTTCTTCACTTCTTTTCAAATAATTCAAATATAGTAATTGGATTTATATCAATTGCTGATTACATCTAACATTCACTTCGATATTAAAATAAAACGTATATTTTCGCCAAGAAAAGGCGAACGTAACAACGCATATATTTTCTTTCGTATTGCATTCATTATTTTTAAAAACACTTTGTAAAAATTATTTTTTGATACTTATTATTAATTAAACACAAATGTCTCAATTTTCAGGCGATAGTCGAGTCAACCAGAATACTCAATTGACCGTTTTGCAAATAATACTGCTCAGGGAGCATAATCGTATCGCGAATGCTTTGACTAAATTAAATCCTCATTGGACGGATGAAACAATTTTCCAAGAGACTCGAAGAATTTTAATCGCACAGCATCAACAAATTTCGTATTACGAGTGGCTGCCAATATTTTTAGGTGAAACAATTAATTTTTGTTTTGATTAATATTAATGATATATCTCGTTATTTCTTTAAAAATAAAACAACATTGTTGCGTCACGTGAAAATCTAATACGTCTGTTTGATTTTTAGGGAGAAGGAGTACATATGGTAACAAAATTTTGTACGAAACCAAAAATTACGTGAACGATTATGATCCAAACGTGAATCCAAATACTCTAAACGAGCATTCGAACGCAGCTTTCAGATATTTCCATTCCCTTATCGCTGGCTTCCTCAAGTAAGCTCAAGCGGTAACATTACAATTATCAACAAACTTTTTGAAATGAATAAAACGCTGTCGAATGGTGGACAGACAAATGATTATTCTTCAAATACATTTTGATGTCGTCAAAACTGTCTACTAATATTTAATTAAACTTCTAACAATTGATAATTTTGACGATAACAATATCGATAATAATAACAACCTATTGAATTAGATAATACGAATCAATTTTGTAAATTTTATTTTGCGAATCACCCACTAGCTTGGTGAACGAGCACCGGTTTCCAGACGGTGTCGTCAGGCTCAGCGATTATTTCAACCGGCCAATAATTATCGAGCAAAACGACAACATGGACGACTTGACAAGAGGCATGTCTTATCAACCGCAAAAAGCGAGCGATCAATATTTTGATCCAGAGGTATATAAAGCTCGTTTGAAACAATTGCGAATACAAAAATACCGATCGAAATCTTTATTCCAGATCACTCACTTCTTGTTCAGGAATGGAAGACCGTTAGGAGCGGATCTTCATGCGACGGACATTCAAAGGAATCGCGATCACGGTATCGCGTCGTACAACAATTACCGCGAGTATTGCGGTTTGCCAAGAGCCCAAAGCTTCCAAGATTTTACAGATTACATTTCCTCCTCGGTACGTGGAAAAATATTTCAAGAAAAAACAAAAAATTAACGTTCTTTTTAACCCCTTTTTAATTCGACTTCGAATGAAAAGTGAAATAACTTTTAAAAAATTACACGACGTGTGTCAATTAACACCTACGATAGGGAGGTTTCGCTAGTTTCAAATTTTTGTATCGATACAAAGTATATTTTCTTTGCGCCGGGAAAAAGGAATAACTCGAATTTTTTAAGAATAAAAAGTAATGATTTAATTTAAGAAATGCACGAGCAGTTCGTTTAATGTCGTGCTAAAACTAGAATTTACACTATCTTTTTTTCTTTTGCAACAATATAGTATATCGAGTATGAATATTGTGCGATGTAATTGTGAGATAAATTGCAGATGTAATTTCAAAAAAATTCGTATTCCAATTCCTTAAAGCTTATGCATTAAATCATTAGATGAAAAAAAAAAAAATCATTATATGTTACTATAGAACGTAGAAAAATTGGCTCAATTATATGCCAGCCCTGATGACGTCGAAGTGATTGTTGGAGGATCGTTAGAAGAACATGTTCCAGACACGCTCACTGGACCTACGTTCCTCTGTATTTTTATAGAACAATTTTATCGAACACGAGTAGGTGATCGTTATTGGTTCGAAAGAGGTGATCACGAATTAGCATTCACTATAGGTAAATATCCTATCAAACTTAATTTTAATTTTGATTTGATTGCTAAAATTTCATATTTAAAAAACTTTTAAAACTTTTACACGACCTTTCAGATTTTTCACGCGATTAATTTTAATTTAGCAATGTGTAAAGTTTCCTAATTTTTTTTTAATTTCGTAATAAAAACAACTGTTATAATTATTTAATCGTATAATTTTGCAGAGCAATTAAACGAGATTCGGAAAGCTAGCATAGCCAGATTATTTTGCGATAATGGTGACAATATCCAACACATGCAACAAAGAGGTTTCGAAAAAGTATCTCAATTGTAAGTATCTCGATTTCTGCATAAAATTATTACGTATATTTTATTTAATTTAACAACAATTATTATTTAAGAATTATAATATATTTTTTGTTGATTTCAGTAATCCTATTGTAAACTGTGACGATATTCCTTCGATAGATCTTTCATTATGGAAAGATTATGCCCCGACATTAACGACGCAACATATTCCACCATTCTCGAATTTTAAGAAATAAAAATTATTAAGTGAGATAATTGTTATTATCTTGATACATTTGCCAAATATCAATTTACTAGATAATCTCACTGCTACATGAAGTATTATTAATTAATTTATAGAATATATATTTACATAATTTTGAAAGTTGTGTTTTGTATTATGTGAATAAAATGCATTATTTTGTTTATAAACAATTGATATCCTAATCTTTTTCATTTTTTCCCCTGATTATACTTTTATTTTTATAGAATAATCGAAAAACCACTAAAATTACATTATTTTTCAAATATAAAATGGAACAAACTATATTTTCATTTAAGTTTTTTCTTATTAAAAGAAAAATAAATTAAAAATTAAAAGAAGATATATTAACAAAATATATCGTAGATGGTTTGAAAAATCAAGTGATCTTACCTGATCAAAATCCTCTGATGTGACTTTTCAACAGCAAATAATGAATTGGAATGTCGTGTAATGTCAATGATTTCCATTCTTAAACGCTGAAACAGTTTACGATATCATACAAATATCAACGATAGATAATAAAAAGATTAAACTTAAAATGAAAATAACAATAATCATAAATAAGAAATGCTTAATATAAAATTTAATATATTTCAAATTTTATTAATTTATTTTAAAGAATAAATTTAATAAATAGAGATTAATAGAGAATAAATTAAATAAATAGAGATTAAAGAATAAATTTGAATTCATTAAATCACAAATGAATTCGTGATATATTGTACGAGTAGATAAAGAATGTAGAAAATATAAATTATGGAAAAGTAGAATTTTCTAGATTTTGAAGACTAATAAAAAAGATGTGGTGTGAACGTTTTAAAATTTCTTTTAGAATGTAACAGTACATGAAATATCACTAACTTTTTCTTAATTACTATCTTTGACAGCCTGTGTTTTGAAAATTTTTCCTCATTCAAGTGATCATTAATATCCAACGATATTATTGAAATTTATTGATATAATTTTTAATTCTTAAATACATTTTCACTGTTTGCAGACATATTTTCGAATCATCCAAAAGAAAAAAAAATCACAAAAAGCAAAATCAAGTAATGTACAGGCCAAGGAAGGAATTTTATTGAAATTAAATAAGTATGGAATATTTCTTTTTAATCAAAGTTTAATAGAAATTAAATAATATTTCATATTCACTTTTATATTTTAAAAATATTCACTTTTCTTAATTATTAATCACTAAAATCCAGAAAATTGTGCTACTATATTATTATTAAAATATTGAAGAAAGGAAGTAAATTAAAACGCTTGTTTGGTAAAATCATTATTATGATGAATAAGATATAGTCATAATTTATTGAAGTTGCAATACTCTTTAATTTGCCACGTGATATTACTGTGTGTGTTTTATCAAAGTACCGTTTATTTGCAATATATTCTCGTGTAAAATGGAATTTACGACTTATCCCAACACGTTCAATAAACTTTCTTATCTTACATATGTTTACGACCGTCTGAGCAATATTTCCTATTAAGGAACGAATATCGGAATCAATCTCGAAACGATCCCACTCGTAAGATTTATAATCGTGTAATTCTAGAACAGAATTCTTATCAAGATATACGTGATTCCATGTGGCAAAATTGTATACAAAATTAAAAATAAATAATATTAATCTTTGAAAAGATCATTCTTAAAATTATTAGTTTTTTTGTTTATTATTATTATTTATATATGTTATTTTAATTATTCACGAAATATGATAGTAGTTTGCATATATATATATATAGATTGAAAGAAGAACATCTCTTATAAATTATTCGAAAGATAAAGAAATTAATTGAAAAATATATCATAAATCTATAAAATTTGTTATCATCAAAGAAATTTCGACGAACTTAAAACTTTAATCAATTTTAATCATTTACAACGTTTGAAAAGTATATTATTATTTCTGCTTGTTTAATCATAAAATTCATTATATTACATAACAAAATACGTTAGAAATCTCTATTATTATATAATAGATATATATAGATTAGTTTTATCAATAAAATTTTTAAATAGAAAACACACAAATAATATTATATTTAGTTTTGATTACCAATGATTAATATTAAATTTATTATATTGGAAAAATATTAAATAATATATATATATATATATGCAAACAATATTGAATTTGGCAAATTTTGATTACCAAAAATTATTGTTGATTTTTTTAAAATAATGATTCAAAGTTTAAGACAAAGATGTATTAATTTAATATCATATTAAATTATATTCATATTCCGATAAAGATTTTTTATATTCTAGATAAATATAAAAACAAATTATTAACTGTTTAAAACTTTGAGCTTGCGCAATCTGACAATTTTATATCGGAAAAATAATAAATTGATAAAGCAATAAATTATAAAAATAAAATGTCAAAAATTTTATTTATCAGTTGAATAAAGATTCAACTAAAAGTGCTAAAAAGATAAGAATAATAAATAAAGATTAATATACAAAATTAAATGATTAAAAAAATATCTATAAATAATTCAAAAAAATAAAAATTTGGGATAGATAAAAAGATATTAATTAAAAATAATTATATATAATTTTGTAATAAAAAATTTTATTTATTATTATATAAAATATTTTTAAATGCACACTAATGTATATGATTATACAAATGTGTAGCATATAATATTTATTGAAACATTATTGCAAAGTTAACGTTGTAGCTTTTAAATCATAATTCAATTTTATTTATTAATATAAATTAAATACATTTTTGTTAAGTTTGTGTATATCATATAGTCACTAATTATCCGATTGTACGTAAGAGTTAATTATGTTTTTAAAATTGTAGTAAACAGAAAAATTATATACTTTAATAATTGTACAATAAATTTGTTTTGTTACTGCCCCATGTGATTGCTTCTGTATATTTAATTTATAATTACGTGTAAAATAAAAAATGTAAGTTTCTATAAATATTGTTCTAATCTCTTTCTTAATTAATAAATTTAATAGCTTTCAAGCAAGACCATTACTAATATAATACTGGTTTAAACAATAAAATTTGTTCCTCTTGGTTTTAATTTATAAGGCAGTGTTGGTTTCGAAAATATATTTGCAATTTTATTGTGCAATTGTTTAATGCATTCTGGAAGAGGAGCATATTCAGTTAAATTTTCTAACAATGGTCGCTTGAAAAGCCTTTTTGCTTCCTGACGTTGTTCTGGAGTCACAGTTCTATCATCCAGATGTACCAAGTGAGGAAACCAAGATATGACGTATAACCTTTTTTTTTATGAGAAAATTTATGAAAAAAATATTTATAAAAATTAAGTAATATACCATGCATATATTCGAATGCATGCAAATGTTTAATACAAAATTTTAATATCTTCTTAATTATTTTTAATTTCCATACCTGTATTGAAGATAATCATAAAAAGTCCCACCATTTAAATAACTTGGTGCAGCCTTGTTTCCCATAAGACACAAATACCTGAGGTTGGGTACACTCTCATAGAGATTCTTAATAAATGGATATAATTCTTCTATGCTGTTATGATTTAACCACAGAAGTTGAAGTTTTGGCATATGTGGAAACACTGTGTGGTCATCTATATTATTATGGTCTAGATTTAATGATGTTAAATTTTCAAATTCACCCAAAAATTGTAAGTTTCTAAAAATTTTATGAAAAAAATAAAATATATAAAATATATATAAAAGTAGAGCTTTTATTAATAGATATATATTTCTCAAAGCATTAGCGCACATGTACATAAAAATTCAAAATAATAGGTACATACATACCTAGTAACTTATTATGACTAATATCCAATGTATGGAGAGTATTGCTATAATTTTCTATAATGTCAAATGGCATATAAAAAAGATTCTCAAAGGCAAGCGATAAAGAATCAGCAATATCTACAGATGGTTTATCTGAAGATAAAGACTTTGGATGTCTACAATGTAAATCTACAAATATTAATCTTCCTAACGAAGTCATGGCAAATTCTTCCACCTCGTTTGCTTCTTTTTGTAATTCTAACTCATCACTGTAATCCAACCTGTAAAAATTATTCTATTTAATTTAGTAGTATTCTGATTTCTCTTCAACTCAAAATTCTTCTAAATATTAAATAACATTTAAGGATTATTGAATAAATAATTGTTAAAAGATTTTAAAATACTTTCTTACATAAAGTATAATATGTTTCAAAACATATAGGTGATATTATATATTTAAAAAATAACAGCGAAGAAGATATCGTGAAAAATTATTAATCATTAATATTAATATTTTAGTTTTACTAATATATACTAATGTATTATTTCATTTATGATATATTAAAAAATTTCATTTATAATATTATTGATATATAATTGTTTTTATTAATAATTAATAAAATATCATATTTCTGATAATTATATATTATACGCATATATATATATATATATTAATAACGATCTCGTTCTAACACTCAGAAACTTTTGTACGTATATATCTACGAAAAAATTTATGAACATATAAATATCCTATGACATTTTGAAATGACTAATAAGTCAGTGATAAATAGATTTTTGAAAAAAACCTTAATCATCATACTTACATTATGCCTTGACTTATATCACCTTACGGGGCAGTAACTTCAAATGAACAATCAACACGTTAAAATCATGCAATACACTTTTCACACACTACATTTATCTATACCATTCACTCTAACATTGATTAAAGTTAAAACTTGCATTGGAAAATAATATTGCGTAAAGAGAAAAGATCGAGTAAGGCTGTAAGGCTTCAGTGTAATATGCAATGCATGTAGTGATTAGGTCAACCATAGTGAGTTTTCCGGCAGTTTGATTGATACTGAGACTCTAAATCGCGATGATAGTACGTAAAATTGATCGTTTATCTGACGATAATTAATGATAAGATACGAACAAAACCAATTTTTAGTTAAAACATTATCAATATTACGAATAATTCAAACCAAAACGTAAGATATGGAGGTTAGAAATTTAGTATTATACGATATTAAAATATCATTAATATATTAACGATAAAATAATAATTTATTATTAACGAAGATAAAAGAATTAGAAATTAACCAGAATAATACAAATTACTCACCGAATTTTCCTGCATATCTTGTTTTCAAACCTTTCCAGGGAATGAGATAACGAAACGTTGAATATTCATTATTGAGGTAACACAGATGGTGCTGCTAGTTCAAGCTGGTAAACTATTAACGTATTTAAAAATCGAACTATATATCGATTAATCGTTTTATCGATTTCTATTTTTCAAGTTGGCGATAATTGTGCAGTGTCTGTGTTACTTTTTTTCAATCAATTGGAAATATATTTTTATTAATCGGAGAGAAAATAAATTGGTAAAATATTTATTGCATAAAAATTTTAATAGATTTAAGAATATCTTTATTCAAAATACATTATTACAACGATATTTGATTATATATAATAGTTATATTTAAAATTGAAATCATCTTTCTATCATTTATACATTTACAAAATATTTGAATTTTTATTTAAGAATATTTTAATACATAATTACTCTATAATTATTATTAATTACATTAGTAAAACATATTTCTTTTTCAATAAAATAAAATAATATGATATATCAATAAGTAATTTAAAAAATTTACTACTAAGATAACCTCTTTTTTCTCAATGTTGAATATTTATTATTACAGTGAGATGATGCTGTCAGTTTGAAAATATGATATGCAAGAAAATTCGGTGAGTATTTTGTAATCTCTTCTGTATTGATTTATAACATAAGAATAAAACATTTGGAACATGTCTTTAAGATGTAAATACATATGTAGAAGCAGATATCTTTAAGATGCTCTTAAGATGGCTTTATATCATTTACGATGTGTTTAATTATTAATTCTGAGAGATAGAAACAAAAAAAGGATTATATAATGAGTCTTAAAATATAATTAGGAATCTTTAACAACTGTGTAATTTTCATCTATTATGTTTTTGCTCATTTTTAAATATACAATATTAAATATTAAACAAATTTATAATTATTGTCAAAAATTAGATTAATAGATTTGCTAATGATCGTCGTAATAGACATCATTGTGATAAAAAGACAGGAATAATAATTAATCCTAAAGTTGAAACTTTAGTCCACAGACATCTTTATTTAAAGAGTTAATATGTAATTAGTTTTTACATAACTTTATTTACTTTTCATGTTGTTATCAATACGATTTATAGATAATCAATAACATCATTAATATTTTTATATTATCGAATAATAATCAGCGATTATATTTATCTCTTTTTCTTATTAAAATTCACGTCCAGCGTGACATTTATACTTTCGCTTCGTCTTTTCTCTCAATTTTCCTCTTTTCATTACAACACTATAAACAGTGGAATAGGATTTTTTTTCATTATGCATCTTATAATTTCTTAATCTTGTAACAGATCATGCCCGGCATTATTTACATGTTCATACAATTTCAATGTATGCATTTGCACGTATCTTCAACGGGCAGTGATTGATAATAGAAACAAATGTCAAAACTTTTACAATTTATCTTCATACCTTTTATAATGAAATTGATATCGAATTAAGTATCTAGGATCGAGAATTTTTTTCAATCGAATTAAACAAATTAAACGTCTCCTCTGTTTTTTGTACCTTTAATTGATCTTGACCATGATTTTTATTATTTAGAAAAAAATCTGTAGTTTTCTGTAAAATTGTCTGAAGTTTTCTGTAAATTTTTAACGTAAATTATTTATAACAAATTATAATACAATAACGAATGTCATTCTATTAACAATCGTGTTTATTGTAATGCAGTGCATTGGATTAATAGCAGTTCTGATTAATAGCACAATAAATAAAAGAAAATTATTCATGGCAAAACGTGAATAGATTCCTACTTTCTCTCTTGTTTCTTTTCGCTTTTATTGAAGTCTTCGTTTTCAAGGAAAACAGCTTAAAGGGGTATTAAGTACACTCGATAAAGTGTCTCAGTGGTTCTCACGAATTATTGATGTATTTCAATGGAATTATATATTCATTAAAATGAGATAAGAATAGATGCAAAAGTTAATTTTATTCATTTATCTTTCAAGTTTTTACAACAAGCATTTTTATTATATTCAAACAGTATGCTGCATAAAAGTTTTGTTTCTTGTACAAATTGAATCACTTAGTGATTCAACTTGATTAAATAACTCGTATTTTTTTGTATGCAAAAAATATTTCATATAAAAAGAGATATAATTCGATATTTTCAATTTTTTCTGCAAATTGTTCACTAATCGATTTTCATTTTCCATGAAAAACTATTAAGCCAATTATAGTAATTATAATAATAATAAAAATTATTAATTTCGCTTTTTTTTTTTTTTTAAATTTCATATAAAATGTAAATATAAATGTACGCGTGAAATATCATTCGTTTGTTCATGCTTTCCTTGTCTTTTACAAAATTTATATCAAAATGTTTCCAAAACTCGTAATAATTTTTTCCTATTAATAAAACTACTAATAATCACTTGATATTTTTCTTTTTCTTATAGAAATAGCAATAAAAATATTCCCCTTAAAAAAAAAAAAAGAAAGTTTAATTTCATATATCTATTTACAAAAAAATATTCATCCCTATATTCTTTGTCTCAAAAAATATCCTAAAATTATAATATTTTCATATAATAATTTCCAGAATATGAATCTGAAAAGCTCTATGTAAGCACTGTACGTAACAATAATGATCACACTGAGAATCACTGTGACATCGTTATCGAGTGTATAAATATCGAATAAATATCATTTTTCAAATTTTTTGTCTTTTTTCATTTTATTATTATCTTTCTTTCAAGAATTTATAAAAATACTACGCATCCGTTTGTTAAATAATCTCTTGATTATTATTTTTTTATTAACACGTAACTAATAAATATATGCAACAATAAAGTTCAATGACATCTAAAATTTATTAAAATTTATCAATATTTTTGTTTTATTTACTTTATCTATCTCGTGTTGAAAATCGAGAAAATCAATTTTCACTGTTTTACTGTTTTCAATTTTCTTTTATTGTACATTCAGAATTACATGACAGGCTATATTAAGTCGTGAAACAACATTGTTGTTCAATATCTTCTTGAAGCAGAAGAAAGTTTCAAAGAATATAATTAAACGGTAAATTGCTCTCAATCGTATTCGTACACGTTCATTTTCCTTGTTTTCTCACCTTTATAATCCGAATAAAAAATATTTTATCAATGAAATCAATAAAAAAAAAAATAAATAATATTGAGAAAAGATTTTTAAACAAGTCGCTACAATAAATTCTAAAACAAGTTGTCTATAAGTAAAAAAAATTTAGTGTATACGAATACGAATGCGAGCATTTTATTTTCATATTTTTCACATCTTTATTACAAATTCATTAAATTTCTATTGCTCGTCAAATGATTTATCGACAATTTAATATTATTTTAATATTAATATAATAATGTCATGTATTGGTTAAATTTTTTTCTGAAGGAAAAAATTGAAATTAAAAGTCAAAAACAGTAGAGTAACAATATAATATTTTAAAAATTTCATTGAAAAATCAGGCAAAATAAAATATTAAATGGATTAAAATTGAAATACGTACCAGTTGTTCGACTGCTCCTTCACAAGTCGACATCGATTAAAATTTAAAACTCTCTTTAATTATAATTTATTGAAAAGTCTATCGTATGTTTATTCAAATTATATATATAAATATATATATATATACGTGTATATATATATATATATATTTATCTATATATCTCTGTAGATACATTGTGTACGTGCAAGATATTAATATATTTGTGAAACATCTTCGAAAATTCGATCATGCAAAATGCCCAAATTTATTTATTAAGTTACAAAAACAATTTAATTTCGTATCAGACGAAATAAGACGAAGATAGAACCATCCCCTCTTTGTCTTTGTCTTGCCTCCGTTATACCAATATTTTTACGTTTATAACCTTTATTAAAATTGACCAACTCCAAAGACGTTCCACAAATATATTAAACACCTTGTATATTTTTCTTCTATACATATATTCTGTATGTACCTTTTATCTCTCGGTATAACAGCATATAATATAATATCTATACAAGACACATTTAGGGCAATATTGAAACTCGTTTAAAATATAACACTTCATTTCTGCAATATTTCCTTACACGATAATTAAGCCAACATTTTCTCTCTCTCTCTCTCTCTCTTATTACACNTCTACTCTTTAATTATAATTTATTGAAAAGTCTATCGTATGTTTATTCAAATTTATATATATAAATATATATATATATACGTGTATATATATATATATATATTTATCTATATATCTCTGTAGATACATTGTGTACGTGCAAGATATTAATATATTTGTGAAACATCTTCGAAAATTCGATCATGCAAAATGCCCAAATTTATTTATTAAGTTACAAAAACAATTTAATTTCGTATCAGACGAAATAAGACGAAGATAGAACCATCCCCTCTTTGTCTTTGTCTTGCCTCCGTTATACCAATATTTTTACGTTTATAACCTTTATTAAAATTGACCAACTCCAAAGACGTTCCACAAATATATTAAACACCTTGTATATTTTTCTTCTATACATATATTCTGTATGTACCTTTTATCTCTCGGTATAACAGCATATAATATAATATCTATACAAGACACATTTAGGGCAATATTGAAACTCGTTTAAAATATAACACTTCATTTCTGCAATATTTCCTTACACGATAATTAAGCCAACATTTTCTCTCTCTCTCTCTCTCGCTTCTTAATCCATCTCTAACTTATTTCTGCCGATAATTACGAACCAGGACATATTTATTTATTTTCTTTTTCTTGTTCTTTATTTCCCCTTTTCTCCTTTTTTTCTTTCTATTCTTTTATTCGTCTCAACACCACGCCTCTATATATCTTTCCTCTCTTTCTTCCCGACACGAAAAACTGTGAAGCCATTATATACGCGGGCATGCTTTATTCCGAACAAGTTCAACTCTGAAAAATATCGTCTGTTCAACAAATGGAGGGAGATATTTTGTATTTTTCCGTAGACGAAAATCGAGATCGACTCGATCATACCCGAAAGCATACACAACGATCTCTGCCACTGGACGTGAAGGAGAGGCTTGCACGAGTCACGATCATTTTTTTTCCTTTTTTTTTTTTTTTTTCTTCTTTTTCGTTTCTCTTACATTTAAATAACGCTACATATACAAACATACAGTGAGGTTATAATTTATTATTACCGCGGCGGAAGGAGTTCTTCGCTGAAGATCAAACGTACGTCTCTTCGATCGATTCGCGCGGACGACGATTCTTTTTATTATATATCGTCGAAGAAAGAAAGAAAGAAAGAAAGAAGGAAAAAAAAGAAAGAGGAAAGGAATGATTTTCTTTTTCTTTTTAAGAAAACAAAACGTCCACAGTTGAATTATTCAAATTGTCGAATCAGATAGGTTGACTCGAGAGGGGACAAGATCGAGAGATGGTGAGAAATCAACGTGAGAATGGAGGAAGGTGTGAGGAACTGAAGGAGGTTCAATATAATAATATATATATTATGCACGTCGGTTGACTTTTCCGCGGGTTTAAAAGCGAGTTAGAAGGAAGTTTTCCCGAAAATAAAGTTGCCGGCTGCGGTCGGCTCGTCCGAGGAGAAATATTGCTTCCAGAGGTTGGTGAATTTATCCCAGGTAATTTCCTCGCCCTGTGCACAAAGAGACGATTCAATGGGATTAGCGAATTCGAGGTGGAGTGAATTTGCACTTACGACCCCCAATTTTTTGAACGCCTCCCTTGCCTCGGCCTCCGCGACGCCGTGGTATCTGCACACGTTACAAAATTCGTTCTCGTCGATCGATTTGTCACCTGAACAGAACAGAAACGACGCATCTTTCCAAGCATGTGAGAAAAAATTATTTCTTTCGTTTTGTTAATCGAATCGTTGGTTGGAAATTATCGATGATATTATAATAATATAAAAGAAAGAAAGGAAAAGATTGAACAGAAAATCAAAAAGTGTTGCACAAAAATATAGGAAAATGTAGGAAAGAAGTTTCGAATATTTTGAAAGTTTCGGATCCTTTTATAAATATTTAACGGATCTTCCAAACATTTTGACAAAAGTGCGCTTCAATTATTTTCCTCACGCTTTCTGGGAAACTGAAAGCATAACAAACTTACCGGATGCATCGAACAACTGGAACGTCACAGACATGTACGCTTCTTGCCATTCGGATGGGTTCGATGGATTTTTCGCGTATTCTTCCCACAGTTGGAACCACTCCTCTCGACTCACCTGAAAAATACAAAAACAGCGTTATTATCCGTTCTGATACGTACCGAACCTCTTTTTTGTTCGTTGTTCGAGTACCTTTTTTATCGGTAAAATTTGTATTAAAATATTATCGTTCACCTGGCCATCTTGATCCGTATCAGCTCCTTGCCTCAAGTTATCCCACATTTTAAGCAAAGTGTCCCTTATACTTTGAGCCTTGGGATTGTCAGCGGACCAACCCCTGTTTTCGTTGATTCGCTACGAGAAAAAGAAATTAGGAATTCTTCTTAGTAGTAGAAACGTAATTTCCTTTCGTTTCCCTCACTCGATTCATCGATCGTTCAAAAACGTTAAATGCTTACTTGTATAGCGAGGTCAAGATCCTTTCTGTCAATTGCGCCACTCTGATTGAAATCTAGGAATAACATAGAACACAATATAAATAAAGTGTACGAAATGGAAAAGAATCCACATTTGCACAAAAACCTTTTTTAATCTTTTAATCTTTAAAAGTCCCTGTCCCGGGCGACTACAGCAGATGGCTCGTAACTCGATCGGTACAGCATCCTCGAGATAGCCGGGTGGAAGAAGGGAAGAAATAGGTTAAGAAAGGAATGGACCCAGTTTGGCACGAGACCAAGAACAGATGATAGATAAACGTTGAGAGTAACGTCGAAGTAATATCGTCCTTGATATCGGACACGGCATTAGCATCGGCATTAACGCTTATCGTTTCACACGCGTCGAAACGAAAATCGCGAAGGCGACGAAACAAGGAATCGATTTAATGAAATACGAGCAAGGCACGAGGACGGTATTTTGGCCTGTATCCAGCAAGAGTTGTGTGCAAAATCTCCACCATCCGTAGAAAGGACGTCGATCGTGCCATTCATCGTCCACCAAGGCAAGGTCGCCGTTTCAATCGGACGTCATTAGTTTTCGCAAAGTCGACCCAATTTCGTATCCCGACTTTTCTCTCCCTTTTCACGCGTCTCCCTTCCATCCCTCCGGCATCCATCCGCGGATTTCCCGTTTATTAATTCTAATTTCACCTAAGAAGAATCCTTTCTCTGCTCTCTCTCTCTCTCTCTTATTTCGTTCTCTCCTAAGTCACAGTTCAATTTGAGAAGCGAAATGGTCAATAATTCGTTTCGAGGCTTGCTGGACGAGGCGCTTCTGTGTCGTGGAACATCAATGGGCTGTTTTATCTGTCTACTAAAACAATTATACTGAATTTTTGAGAGAAATTTTAAATTGGTAAAAATTTGTTTTTAGATAGTGCGTTGAAAGTTTTCTATTTAAATAGTAAATAAATTCTTCTCTTTGAATATTATTTTTTCAATAATTTTGTTATAATATTTTGAAAAAGCTTGTTGAAGAATTATGAAATTGGATGAAATCGTTTCGTTTTCGCCAATTTCCAGGTACATAAATATAGAAATTCGATATAATATCAATGAAACGCGTATATGCATTAAATGTATTTCTACAAAAATCTGAATACGTCTATACATGTTTCTTATACGTGTCTTTTCAATACATTTATTCTTCGCGTTAGCTTGTATGCGTTCTTTACCTTCCATGTTCATTTATTCGTCGGATTATTATCGTAAGACAAATACTCGAATATTCGACTTCGTTAAATCGTTCTTTGAAATTGGAAATATTATTTTTAAAATTTCGACCTCAGAACACGTATACTCTTCACAGAAACAATCAAATATACGAGGCAAAATTATTACACCTCCTATTTTTCTCTCAAATACTTTATCTCTCGACTAGAATTCTAGAATTCGCAATAGAATTTTCGAAAACGTGTGATATCAATTATCGCGTTATACCACCAGCTTTCACGCAAAGATTCTCTGGGTCACGGTGAAATACCGTATCGAAGAGCAGCCCCGCAGGATATGTTTAGCAGTCGATCGACGGTCAAAGAAGGGAAGAAAGTAAGGGGCTAATGAGAGCCGCGAAGCGTGTACACTGTGACCTCCACGCTCTTATACGAGCAGCCTCGTCCTCCACCGGCATACTAACCAAACGCGATTCGCACATTCGCCAGTTTATTTATCCTCTAACGCGTAATTTTTACACGCGTATCGCCATAAACCGTGCGACAAAAGGAAATCCAAGATTTCGTGTAAATAATAAATCAAAAAAATATATCTAATCAATATTGGCCTCCAAAATACAAAATTTTCATTAATTCTATATATATATATATATCTCGCGAAATTTAAAATTGTGTAACAAAATCCAAGATTTCGTGTAAATAATAAATACGATTTTTACGATAGATATTAATGAAAAAAATATATATATATCTAATCAATATTAGCCTCCAAAACATGAAAACACGAAATTTTTTATTATTCTTATATGTATTCACCATGCGTATCGTCATAAACCGTGTGACAAAATCCAAGATTTCGTGTAAATAATAAATACGATTTTCACGATAGATATTAATGAAAAAAGAAAAAATATCTAATCAATATTAGCTTTTAAGATGAAAACACGAAATTTTTCATTATATATATATATATTTATCTCACGTTGGAAGAACGCAAGCCGCGGTTACAAGCCATGTTAATTGACGCGATGACATGCCATGAATGAATACTGAACAGTTGTGGTAGGTTCGCGTCTATGAAAGCAACCTTCTTTGACACATTATTAATAACCTCGTGTCGTCGCACAACTTTGACCTAATGTATTTCTAGACGAATTCTTCCGTTCGATATGGAAGAACGTTCGACATGCAATTTTTTTCAAAACATCTGTTCTCCCTTCCATCCAAGTTTTACCTTCCTCCGCGAAACTTGTTCCGGGCCTGGTGGACCATCCACCTTTAACCGCGTCCATTGTTTAACCCGTAAATAGGTGTCCTGGCTAGACTCACTTTTGCCCAGCACGTAGGGGGGGACAAAACGTCCGCTCGATTCGAACCCAACCACCAAAAATACCCTCTCGAGGATGTGTCGTCCACTCCTCCCTCCGGCTATATTTCATCTCGGTGGATGAAGGTGGAGCGTTGATGTTGCTTACCGCGATAGGGGGCCAGGAATGGACGTTGGCTGAGCCAGGAATCGAGGGAATCGGTTTGGTTATTTCGTTACCAGGCAACGAAAGGGAGGAAAAGTAATGGCCGATTCGCGACGAGAGCTTAGGTATACACGGGACCCATAGATAATATCCCTCTGCCTGGAGTCTGTTCTCGGCCGTGAAATTTTCTCGGGATAATTGTTTGTCGTTGGGGATGATTGACGGCTAAATTGAGGATTGCTGTAACGTCTCGCACTTGGGAGAGAAACTCGTTCGAGCTACTTTCTCCCTTTCCCTTTTCTTTTTTCACTGCTTCTTGGTGGAAGCAATGTTGGCGGCTTGATTTTGTTCTTCAAACGTGAAACGTTGTTGATTATAAAAAGAATGTAGAAAATGTATAGTCCAAACGAAGGTTGGACTTGTAAGAAGAAGTACGGACGAGGTTTCAAATTTTTCTTCTTCGAACGAAAATCTTCTAAATATAGATATACAATTAACGGACGAATAAACTTTATAAAAATGAATTATGCACGGTTGGTATGTATGGATAACAGTGGGAGTGGTATTCGCTCACCGAAGAAGGTGTTAAAAACGTAGAGTAACTTCTTTTTACGGAACTCCGACAGTGGCATCTCGTCGATCTGTAACAGAAAAGAAACAAGGGTGATTGCTTAAGTATCCCCCTTACGTTCGTGTGTTAAATATTCATTCTACGATCGAATGGCGATCAGGGTCGATTGTCTCGAGCGAGCGACCCTTATTTTATCTCCTCGGTGAAAAAGTAGCCGCGGCTCGCTTTTATCGAGCCACTTTGTACAACGCCTCGATATTTACAAGGTCGTCGTGAAGACGCAAAATTAAGCTTAATTCAGGTGTTGAGCCTGGGATATCTGAATAATAATAAAATATCCGAGTCTTGTTCTATCGTTCGATCGATCCCTTGATTTATGGGGCCTAAATTATAAAAACACTTGAATTATAATTCGAATTGTGCCGATAAAATTGAACATTGAACTTTCGACTTTAATATGTAACTTATTTAATAAAATTATTAATAAAAATATTTTATTTAAGATGGATGTTTTAAATATTAACACTGAAAATCTTACGTGTATTTGGTGAAGAAATTTTGGAAGAATGAAGATCGTTCCTTTTGCTCCAAGTAAAAAACGATTGGAATATCGATGAAGAGGCAACCTTTTATATATAATAAGATAACATGTACGATTCGAGTATTTAATGACGTACATTTTATTCCACAATAATACTGTAAATGTAATTTAAGATATCTGCAAACATCAGAAATGTGTTATTACTCGAATCGTGACGTAAATCGTGTTCAAGTGATTCCCATGGAACGAGCAATTCCTCGAAACACTTTTTCCCCCCCTCGACCATTAAATTTGCAATTCTGAAAATTGATTTGGAAATTGTTCGTAATTCATTTTATTAAATGTTCGAGATCGACAACGCGTGTTCGAGAAAAAACGAAGGTATACGTGTTTAGACGTTTTTTCTTCGTGAATTTATCGGATATAATTGTGGCATAGGGAATAAATTATGAAAAAATTTATTATTTCAACATTTTCAACGACGTCTGTGCGACGATGAATTGCCTCGAATTTTACATTTTACATTTTCGATTATTCTCTCGCGTAAATAGTGTATAGCTCGTAACAATTCAAGTAACTCGAGTAATATATCATAACGAAGGATGATATATTTCGTAAGAATAAATTTCTTGAAATAACTTCTTTGCCTTGCGACATCCCTCTGTAATTTACGATTTTTACAATTCCGTTCCTTTATTTACAATTTCAATTTGTTACGGAAGAAAAAAAATGTCAAGATAAAAGTATAGAACATTGTAATCTTCGAAACAAGGAGGACAAAATACGAAGCAAAACGAAGCAATTATTCGTGATGATTCACAACGTCATTGTGTGTCGAATCTATACATTCGAAAAAAGAAAAAAAAAAAAAAAAACAATTCTCGAAAGAGAATTATTCATCGTTCAATTATCCTCATTTATCAATCTCTGATCTGTCCCCCACCATCGCCCCAATAATTGCAAGCCAATATCTTGTTACGTAGCCACACGAATAAAATATACATTCCCTGCCTCTATTCCTTTAATTACACTACCTCGTTCATTGTAATTTGCATCTATCTGATTCGCTTTGAATTAACCCACGATTAATTGATTCCCTCGTAATCTTAAACTCAACTCGAACAAAAAATGGTGCGACGATTTTTCTTTTCAGCGAAAAATGAATAGAAGAAAAAAAAAAAAAAATTACGAATTTCTAAGCTTCTTAAATGGAAATATGTATATTTTAACGTTTGAAAAAACGTACGGATTTTCCTATCTCCAGAGATCGAAAAAAATTTTTTCTCAAACCCTTCTCTACCTCTGATCTACCAGCAAATAAGCAATAATAAGAAATAATAACAGCACTGATAACTACCTATTCGAGAGAGTTGAAAGAAAGTAGACAGAGGCAACATTATAATCGCACGTACTATCATTACGCGCCAAGGTGAATGTTGACGTCAATCTTTAGAGTGGTTAATATTGCACGGCAATCTTTTCATTTCTCGATTGTGCGCCAGTCAACTGGATATACTACTAACGAGGCGAAACGCGAATAGAAAAATCTACTCTTTCGCGTCACCCGTGCAATTTATCAATTTTCAACACAACGCCGTTTCGATACGAGTAGGATTAAGTAGAATACGCGTAGAGTGGTGCGTGTACACGAGTACACGATACATTATCGTGTAATTTGATAATAAAGTAAGTTGATTGCAAACTTGGTTAGATCTGGCAGAGAATGCCAGAGATGGTCGTTCGAGTAGTTTAATGCTAACTTCTGGCCGCGTTATTGGCCGTGCAAGTGTTGCCCTCCCTCTCCAACTAAGCTAACCACGATTTCAAACTTGTTCAATTGCGGTGAATTTCACCTGCTGATCGAGTTTCGTATTGAAATACGCAACTTTTGCGAAGAGTATTTTTCGCGTATCGTGCGGGGATTAATTAATATCGACGAAATGATTTTTAAATTTATATCTGTATGAGATCAACGGGTGATTCACTGATGTTTGAAAATAATTAATTCGAATAAATTACAGATAGGTAGAAAGTTTGTGCAGGTAGAAAGAATACGTCGCTTTAGATTTCGATACTCTTTGATACGTGACATATATGACGAATGCAAATTATTCAAAATTTTCCAATTTTTTATATATTTTCCATATTTCCACACGGAAATTCAATTGGAAAATTAGGCGAATATTTTTATGCAACGTCTTATCGTATATTGCTTTTCTGCTCAATCAATATCGTAATAAAACTCGCGGTCTGATAAAATTTCGAAATAACAACACGACGGAACGATCTTGGAGAAATGCTTGCTAACGATGCGGAGCGAAATTCTTTTCCTTAAAAAAAAAAAAGAAGACTTTTAACAATTGTTTCGCGAGCCGATAAAAGCTTTCGATTTTCATGTGGAGTATAATAGATAGATGTAAAGAGATGCGACGAAAGGAGGGGAAAAAAAAAAAAAGAAAATAAATAAATCGGTGAATTATTTGGCGTTTGAAATTCGGCATTTTGAGATAACGTGGCCAGACGATATATGGAGATGCAGTACAAAGATCCGAAACGAGCTCTAAGTTTATTGTTTCTGTTTCTACACCACAATCTCCATTCACATAAACGTGCATACGTGAGACACGATTCCTATATTATAGCCTCGTTATCTGTCCCTGTCGATATATCAACCTGTCAATACCGCTAAATATTGCACAGATTTGGCGAGACACTGTACGCCAGATAAAAATATCTTCAATATTTTCCTGAGGTACACGCTCTATGATTTTGTTAGCAAAAATTTCTATATTATTCGAAAATTATGAAAACAAAAAAAAAAAGTGTAATTTGAATATGAAAGAGAAAAGAGCATTGATAAAGAGCTTTCAACTATATTTTTGAAATGTTTCA